AGAAAGAAGAGAAGGAAGAAGATCCTCCTCGACCACCACCTGAGCTCCGCCGGACCACCACTAGAGGCCCTCACCTCCATCGGACCACCGCCTGACGTCGTAGCTCCGCCGGACCACCACTTGAGGCCCTCACCTCCGCCGGACCACCGCTTGACGCCGTTGCTCCGTCAGACCACCGCCTGATGTCGTTGCTCCACCACCTGAGGTCGTCACCTCCGCCGGACCACCGCCTGACGTCGTTGCTCCACCGAACCACCGCTTGAGGCCCTCACCTCTATCCAACCACCGCCTGACGTCGTTGCTCCGCCGGACCGCTACTTAAGGACCTGTGCTCCACCAGGCCACCACCTGAGGCCCGAACTTTTGCTGGATCACCACCTGAGGCCGGGACTTCCGCCGGACCACCACTTGAGACCCGGACTTCTGTTGGGCCACCACCTGACGCCCAGAGTTCTACCAGAGTACCGCCCTACAACAACAATCTTTCTGACCTCGGTCTCCTTCATACTACAGTCCTTTCGACCTACATCGCCAGACAACGGTCTTTCTAACCCCGGTCTCCTGTCAACTACGGTCTTTCGGACCCCGATCTCCTGCCGACTATAGTTCTTCCAACCTCTGTCGCCTATTATGGTCATTCCGACCTCCATCACTAGACAACGGTCTTTTAGACCTCAGTCTCCTGTCAACTATGGTATTTCAGACAACGCTCTCCTGCCGACTACGGTCCTTCCGACCTCCGTCGCCTACTATGGTCATTCTAATCTCCATCACCAGACAACAGTCTTTCAAACCCCGATCTCCTGCCAACTATGGTCTTTCAAACCCTGGTCTCCTGCCGACTACGGTCCTTCCGACCTCCGTCGCTTATTATAGTCATTCCGACCTCCATCATCAAACAATAGTCTTTCAGACCCCGGTCTCCTTCCGACTACGGTCCTTCCAACCTCCGTCCCTACTATAGTCATTCCGACCTCCATCACCAGACAACAGTCTTTCAAACCCCGGTCACCTGCCAACTACGATCTTTCGGACCCCCATCTCGTGTCGACTATGGCCCTTCCAACAAAACAAACATGTCTATGCTAATTATTGTAACTCCCAACATGTAATGCGCTCTATATGATGTACATTTGTGACATCAAACTAAGGCCTTCTCCTAATGAAGGGCCTTATTTGTAATCGACTGCAAATACTAGTGGATTCATTCAAACTGGGCTAGGCCCTGTGGTTTTTCCCCTTTTTTAGGGGGTTTTCATGTAAAAACTCTGGTCTCTTATGAACTCTACACCCTCTGATCTTCGTACAATGTTAAGACGTTAAATTATATATTTTTCTACCGTCACGAATACTTCAGGACGCAACAATAAGTATTTTAAAAGAATTATAATTAAAGAATGCATAATATTAAAACTCTACTAAATTTTAACACATGCATCATATGGACTTGCATTTTTATTGGTATAAGAAAGTTTAAAAAAAAAAGCCACGAGGAATATCATAATATCCTCTTCCTACGAAAAATCATGGTGAAAACCCAGCTATGTATGGCGGTCCACTAGATGATTAACTTCTACTATTATTGTACCCCATAATCCTGTGTTTAGACCTCATAGCCATGAGCCTGTGCCTAGAATAATGGCACTTATTTAGTCCATGTACATATTATGATGTTAATCATAGTGGTAGGCATGCAAAAGAGTCCAAGTTGAGTTCAAGCCATGCCAAACTCGACTCAACTTGCCGAGCAAATCGTGAGCTCGAGCTCAACTCATATCAATGAAAGCGATCTCACAAGTCAGCTCAGGAGATCAAGGCAAAAGGCTCAACGTGATACCACCGATGAAGGCGGCGTGACTGTAATGAACCTATTGACAACCAATATATTGAAAGGGAGGTATCTCTCCATATAACCTTGTTGAGAGAAAGTGGGGACCAAGAAAGATTTCTTTTAGATTACATGCAGTTACCCCTACTTCTAGCCCACCCACCTGTCTGAAAGGAGTTATGAAGAATAATTATATCAGATTTCATAAGTTTCTATTAGTCCACTCGAGACCTCATCTACACAACAACAAGAACATCAGCTTTTATCCCACTACGTAGAGTCGGCTACATAAATACTTTTTATTCATTATGTCTTGTTAAGAGTCAAATTCTTATTTAAATATAATAAAGAATGATCATTTCTAATATTTTCTAACAAAATCTTCTTATGTCAACCTCTACTTTTTTTAACATAAGTCAAATCTAATACATCTTTTCTCCTAATCGTGCTAGTGGAAGGCCAACATTTTATGTGACCAAACCATCTAGGGTGACTCTCTAATCTTATCTTCCACTAGAGCTACTCCAACCTTTTCATGTATATGCACATTTCATATTATGTCTCTAAGAATAAAGCCACTCATCCAAATGAGTATCATCATCTCTGCAACACTTGATTTAATTTTATATGCTTCTCTTTTAATGGATAATATTTTGCGCCATAAATCATTGCAAGTCTCACCATCATCTTATAGAATTTTTCATTAAGTTTGAGAGATATTTTTATATCACACAATAAGCCCGATGCATTCCTCCACTTCAACCATCGAGGCATCGACCTTGAATTCTAATAATAATATCCCCATCTATTTCACCATCACTCTAAAAAAATAGACCCTAGATATCAAAAACAATAACAACATCAAGCTTTTATCTCATTACGCGGGGTAGGCTGCATGAATTCTTTTCCTTCATTGTGTCCTGTTAACTGTTAAGAGCCAAATTCTCATTTAAATCTAATACAAAAAGGTCATTTCTAATATTTTCTAACAAAGCCTTTTTAGGTCTACATCTACCTTTCTTAACATAGGCCCAATCTAATACATCTACTCTCCTAACAGGGTCATCAAAAGGCCGTCGTTTTACATAACCAAACCATCTAAGGCGACTCTCTCTAATCTTATCTATCACTGGAGCTACTCCAACCTTTTCACGTATATGCTTATTTCGTATCATGTCTCCAAGAGTAAATCCACTCATCCACCTGAGCATCCTCATCTCAGCAACACCTAACTTAATATTATGCTTCTCTTTTAATGGCCAACATTCCACGACATTAAGCATTGCAGGTCTCATCACCATCTTATAAAATTTTCTCTTAAGTTTGAATGTTTGAGTGGTACTTTTCTATCACACAACAACCCTAAAGCATTCCTCCACTTCAAACATCCAACTTGAATTCTATTAATAATATCCCCATATATTTCATCATCACTCTGAAAAATAGCACAAAGATATCAAAAATAAGTACACTTATTAATGACTTGATCACCCAAAATCACAATCCCTCCACTAGATCTATTAATACTAAACACTCCATGTATTCGATTTTAGATCTACTCAAACAAAAACCTTTAGACTCTAAGGTTGACTTCCATAATTCGAGTTTACCTTCAACTCCCTCTCTACTTATCAACAAGAAGAATGTCATCAACAAAAAGCATACACCAAGGTACATCCTCTTGCAAATGTCTAGAAAGAACATCCATGACTAAAGCAAAAAGATAAGGGCTTAGGGCTGATCCTTGATGTAATCCACCTTGTGTTTGGAAGATAAGGGCTTAGGGCTGATCCTTGATGTAATCCACCTTGTGTTTGAACACAAATTACAGCTTATGCAATCTATCCCTAATGACTTGTATAAGTTAAATATAAACATTATTAACCCCTTGCCTTTCTAGAACTTTCCATAGCACTTCTCTTGGAACATTATAATATGCTTTATCTAAATTAATAAATATCATGTGGTCCTTCATATTCTCTCTAAACTTCTTTATCAAACCTCTCAATAATTGTATCCATAGTAGACCTACCGATCATGAATCCAGATTGATTTTGAGACTTCATCTACAACACCTGACTTCAAAGGGAAAACCATTGTTTATATAAAGCACATACCATTTAAGCAAGAGGATATGGAATTAGTTGATACAGCTCTTGATTCCCCTCCTCTAAAGTATTGTCCCAATGATCCTATCTTGGATGAAAATCTCGATGAGTGTATTTTATAATCATTTTAATAAAATCTTCTGACTCCACTTTTCAAAGGAAGCCTCTCCAAACAAAACTTTAAAGACTTGCAGTTTTTTTGGCACAGAAGAACACCTTCATATTATCATCTTTTTTCCCCACAGCATACATATGTAAAGCATAAATGAGTTTAAAAAACTTGTCTCATCATCACTATAAGCCTTCCACAAACTATTTGACGTATGCTGTATTAATCTTCAATTTCATACTTTCATGTTGAGTGTTGCATGAAGCGCTAAACATATTTTGTGCAATGTTATAACCATGTTACAACATCTGCCCATTTTCCTCATAATCCTTAGATATAAATTCATCATTTTTAGCATTGGCACACATCACTTAACATTCCCATTTTCATTATATTGATATTATCATATTTATCCTGCATGCTTATGTATAATTAAGACACAAATAATTAAAAAAATATTACTTAAGTTAAATTTATCTTATAATAATAGTGATAATCATTTTTTAAAATCAAAGCCACTAAAATTATCACATATACAGACTTAGTTCTATTAAGCCAGAGTTTTTTTCTCCTAAAATCTAAACATTTTCTCTATGGTTCTAACTTTTCACTTAATTTAACATGTGTCTCACCCATAAAAGCTATGTCATCTAAAAATTTGTACATCATTGGAAAAGGAGCATAACGAACAAAGAGCTTTCTAAACGAACTCTAAACTATAGTATAGAGAAAAACCATAATCACTTGATGAATACAAGATCTTTTCAGAGAAACAGGATGGGGAAAAATCCTAATAAGAAAAGAAAATTGCCATATTTAAACATAAGAAACAATAGTCAAAATGCAATATTAACTACAATTAAAGGACCATTCAAGCACTGGCAGAATAAATAATAAATTTAAGCAAACCAAGCAAATAAATGTAGCCTAAATTAAATAAGAAGAAAATCAAAACCTGCGAACAGCAAGCCCTCCAAGGAGTTTGTATCGGAGTGACTCAGCCTGGGCAATAGCACAGAGACCCCTATTATTAACCTTCTCAGCATAAAGTTCAACGCTGTTCTCCGGAAATTTGAATCTTTTCTGCACGACAGAAGTCAGCTCCCTAATTCTCCTTCCCTTCTCGCCTAGAAGGGTAAACATCCTTAAACCAAACGTTAAAAATCCTCATAAAATTCACGAGTACAAGTGAAGCAAGCAAACAAGACCTCACCAAGCACGTTCTGAGTCCGGGTGGCCCTGATGATGATCTCTGTCCTCATGGGAGTAACCCTAACCTCCACACCGGAGTACCCATCCTCCGCGAGCTCACGAGTCAAAACCTCGTTTAGTTCCGCGAAGAAAACGCCATCAGCCACAAACTAAAACAGGAAATGAAACCCACATAAACGATCAGACCTTCAAAAATGAACAAAAAACTGCGCTCTTGCGCTGATTAGTATTAAATAACTTCTTGATCTTAGAATCTGGGGAAAGCACTGAAATTCGAATCTAGGACTGGTTTAAGAGAACCAAATCTTCAACCTTTCGCTTCTTGCTCATCTGGGTTGCCATGGCTAGAGGATCAAGAGATGAATGAAAACGGGAACGATAGCCGCGCTCGCTGCTGCCGCCGTTTCTCCTTTCTTCGTTCTCCTGTGACAACCTAGAACCGCTGAAATCGCGTCCCTAATAACAGAGTATGCGATTTGGAACCAGATCGAACGGCGGAAATACCGAGATCCAGTCAACTCTTATTTGCCCTTGGGGGCTGTTTGATATCGGATTTACAGCGGGATTTAAGTCGGATTTACGCTAAATCCAGCCAAACAGTTTTTGTGCGCGCGTTAAATCCAGGATTTGGTAAATCCCGGATTTACGGATTTGGATTTACGGATTTATGGGTTAAATCCCGGATTTAGTAAATCCAATGGGTAGCCGGATTTAACGGGATTTATCGAAAGAAGCACGGGAAAAGGAGAAATTTACCTTCACAGCCAGCAAGCTCCCGTTCTTACTTCCGATCAAAATGTCGTAACTTCCGATCCGGGTTGACGAAAAAGTCGTGGCAGGAGCGAAGTCGAATAGCCACGAAGGAGCCGAAGAAGCGACTCATGTAATCTATACACCTGCAAAGCAGTGAAGCCGAACAACAACAACGAAAAGAGAAGATGAAAGTCAAACCATAGACGCCCCTAAGTTATTATTGATTAACTTAATTAATATAATTTAAATTATTAATAATTAAGTAAATTAATTAAATAATTAAATTCAAATAATAAATTGTATAGTT